TATTCCTATAATTTTTGGTAATCTAGATGACTTTAAAAAGCATATTCTAATTCCTCCATGGAAATGCATTTGCTGCAAAGTTATTAAAACTTTTTTCTTCTTTTCCTAACTGAAACCTTCCATTTCCCAAAACTGCACCATTTTTTATAGTTGATATATCATTTATATGTGATATATTGCTTACAAATGAACCACAAGACAGCAGTAATTTTAAATATCAAATAGTCCTCCCCAACAGGAATCAAAGATTTTTTTTCTAATTTGAAAAATAATATATCTAATAAACATTTTGTGCTCCATTTACCAGTGGCATTATTATATTATTATGACAGTTCACCTATCTCTAGTAATCCCCTAAAATAATAATCGCTTTCTCAGTTTAACTTTTTGTTGGACAAATTTTAAATATGTCCCATTCTTAGTAGTTTCTATAGTACAGTACTGAAAAGATTCATTAATTTCAATCACCATCAACTTCTTACGCCACATATACTTTTTCTGCCTTTTTTGTTCAAATCTATTTCACTGTGGCCATTCAAAGGAAAATTACACATTCCAATAACATTTGAGTTCCTCTCAGTTACCCTTTCAGTGGTTCAGGGTAATGATAGAGTAAAGAATCCTGTCTTCACAGGCTCTCCATTTTTTTTTTTTTTCCATTTGGGAGAATTTCAACTTCAAATCTCTTGTGCCAAAAAGCAATGGGTAATGTCTAATGCTTTCTCAAACCGTAGCTTACTTTGAAGCGAAGGGGAGAGGAAGTCAAGAGAAATCATTCTCATTCCCAGCTATTAGAGATTCTTAGTATATGGAATAAGAAATCTATTATTCTTTTTCTTTAAATAAAATTTTGGAACCACAATGAATTAGGAGTGGGTAAAATAAAGGGAAAAATTAGAAACATTTCAATCTATCTCTCTGAAAAATGGGTGATAATTTAAAGGGTGAAGTTATTGAAAGTTCTAGTCTTAAACTCTCTCTGTAATCAGTTAAAAAAAAAAAGGAGAAACCTTTATATTTGTAGAACCTGGAGCTTATATATTTATTGGCATTGCTCAAAGGTAGAGATTTCCTCCATAAAATGGGTAAAAGCTACATTCTCTTCTTCATGAGACTGCAAAATGAGATAAGTAGGGATAATAGTACAGTCAGGGAACATAAATGCCCTCATTTTAAAACTAGCATTAAAAGACAACCCATGACAATTTACATGAACTCAAAAGAATATTCAGAGAATGACAAGTGTCCTTTGTTTTAATTTCATCTGCAGTTAGCTTTTTCAAAACAAATATTTCTAGGATCCTTACATGTTATGAAGTCCTTTTTCTCAAACCCATTTTTATTTGGTTATCCTTTTAGGTGCACTAAAGATTGAGTTTACAATAAACTGAACAGACAGCATACAAAAGGCTTTTAGAACTATACCATATGGTCCAGGGAAGGGAACAATCTGGACGATCCCCATTTCAATCTGCAAGCTTGTCCACCTCTATAACACATTATACCACTCTAATAAAATATTAAGATGGAAACGTAAAGGCACAAATAGTCTATCTTTAGCATTATCAAGCAACCACACTGCCCAAAATTTACTGATAAACTTAAAAACATTGACTTTAATTTATATTCTCAAATTTTGGTATGCAATACCAGGCATACAAACCTAGGCCACTATTCACTAGAAACAATATTTCAGCAGGGCAATGTGTGGGTATTCAACTTATGCTTCAGAAATTTGGAAGGGGAAAAAAAAAACAAAACACTTTTACAGGGGGCATATTGGCAGGAGCTGATGTAACAGATGACACATTCTTGGAAATCAAATAAAAGCAATAGGGAAATACCCATTGTTGCCTAGTGAAGGCCTAATCACATGGACACAGCTGGAATCAATGTAGATCATTCATTAATAAAATTGTATTGTAGTAGCCACTTTTTGATGCATTTCAATTGCTGCTGTAGTCAAATCTCTTAATGTCTTTGTTCAATGCTAGTAAGATTGCTTTAATGGGAAATATGAGAAGATTTCAGATGGGGGGAAAACCTGCTCTCATGATAAAAATCAGACTAGCTCAAAAAGCTAAATGTCACTTTACCTTGCAATCTCCTTACACTATCAGCAGTTTAAAATATGCAGTGTAAACCTGAAAAGGGGGAATTCATATGGTACTATGGATAAAAAGTGAGCAGTGTGAGATGCCACAGAAAACATATGAAATACTTGTGAAAGTATTCCACAGAATGATAATATAAGACATTGGGCAAGAGGAATTAAAATGTATCAAAAACTGGGGGGAGGGGAATCAACTGAATTAACACATGCAATACTCTCTATTGAATTTTAACACTGAAGTGGCACCATATGCTTTAAGGAAGATTACTCATGCTTTTGACCATTTAAACTTACAAAACACTAATTGTTACTACATGTGACTAATAGTGAATATCAAACAAGATATTCAAATCGTCTATATAGGAGTTACATTTAAAAATCTGTATAGATACTCAAATAAAGCCTTCGTTAAAATATTAAATGTAATATTTGTCCAATTTTGCTGGCATCCCTTAAAAATTTATTTTTCCATATTGCTACAAAGATGTTTGTTACTATATCATAATTCTTGCAAACTGTAGATCAACTATAAAGATACAAAAGATTTGACATGTGTTCCAAATTTAAAAAAAACTACAGAATTTATTACCTACAAAAATGAAAAACTCACAGCATTAGCCAAAAAAAACTGCTCAAATGTTAAAGGTAAGCATATTTCTACTATGTCTCTACATATAGTTAGAAAAACCAAACAATTCATGTTGCAATTGCTAAATCACAAAAAAGATATTTCTACCATAGGAAAAAGACAAAAGGTTCCCATACAATTTAAAATTATACCACTAGGGGAAAAAATGTATTTAAGTCAAGGAATAGTGTTCAACACATAATGTATATTAATACACACCTGCAAACATATTAAAACTTTGTTAATCTGTATTACCTTTAATCACTAATTCCAATACTATCAACCTTGCCACAGGATTCAAGACAGCCATGTCCTTGTAACAGAACCAAAAGGGGAAAAAAACAATTTCCCTGGCATTTCTTCTGAAAGATTCTGAAGCTTAAAATGTTGACTTAAAGATTTCACTAATATAATAAAGCAGGCATCCCACCCAGATTCATTTTAGTTGTTCGCAGAAAATGCCATTTAAATACATATTTTTAAAAAAGGCAATGGGGGGCAGTAGTATTTATTATATGTGCATTATATATACACAGCAATTGGAATATTTGTTTGTTTTGTTAAAATAATGAGCCAGTATGCTGCTGAACCTGTATGAAGAATTAAAAAAAAAAAGTGAGTTTATTTAATGGATACTTCCGATATACCTGTTTTACAAATCCTTGTAATTATTTTAAAGCAGTTGCTAAATTAAATACTATATCACTGGGGGAAAAAAGTGTTAGATTGCTTAGCTATATCTATATGCATCCATAATGGATACATTTTTCTGTATATATGGTATAGAAAAATGTTTCACATTAATAATTCTCACATCAACCACTGTTTACTTTCTTTTTAGTCACATTCGTTACACTGTTAAAAAAATACATGAGTTCTTCCTCCCAAAGAAATTTTCTTATTGCCAGAAATCATTGGCCATTTTTTAAATAAAATCAATCAAAATAATATCAATTTCCTCCTAAGAAAACATATCCTGTTTATTTAACATTTCGTATATTGATTACAAAATACTAATTTTTAAAATAGAATACTTGAAAATAAGTCATTTTCTTTGTCATAATACAACTGAAAACTCATTTACATTTTGAGAAACATGAGTTTTCATAGAATGCTTTATCATAGTGAAATATCTAATTTTCTCAAATCACTTAAAAATAGTAAGACTATAAAAAAATAGTAAAACTACATTTCTATCCCCCTTATAATAGTAAGTCACTTAACAACAATTTAGAGAAAACTGAGAAACTCAAGAACATTTTTGTATTTTACTCTGCATTTTTATTTCAAAGGAAAATATCTTAAGTTCATCTCTTTATATTAAAGGAAGTTCACTTAGTTATCTGGAAACACTGATCAGATATGAGTATTCAATTTGTAAATAAGTGAACTGACCCTAAGTTTTAGAGGAGAGAGAGAGGAAGAAAGAGAAAACAATGACATGCTTTTTGATCTTGGCAAGAACTACCTTGGCATAGAAATCCATACAATGCAAGCAAATACCACTCAAGAGTTTCTATTCAAATAATAAGCTGTGAAGCAAGACAAGATTCCTACCAATCAAGAAAACTACATCAACAAAACCAGAGTTAGCAATATTCAGAAGGGTTTTCAGAAAAGTGTGGCAAAATGCAACTGTGAAGGGAATCTCTAAGAATGCTGAAAAAGGCAAATTTAGCACAGCTTCTATAAGGAACAATGCCACTTACTAAAAGTGGAAGTGGTAGGGAAAATAATATTTCTATTTAAGAAAAAACTTTTTCTCATGGTGGTGGTCATTGTAAAGAAACAAGATGAAGGAAAAGATATGATGTGAGCAGGAAAGACGAAGGTTGCTTGCCTGCCTTCCCTGATGCTGGGAGGTAGACCCTCTGCTTTATGAAAGCCACTGCCAGAACCAAGCTACACAAACACTTTGGCTGCCAGCCTAGAACAGTGCCAGGCTGTTTTTTTTTTTTTTTTTTTGTGCTAGACTCCCTCAATTGAGACAGTGTGGGATTGTCACTTTGATGCACATAGAGAACAAAGAATAATATAGTACAAGAGAGGGGATCTTTTTTTTCCCTTTTAGAGTCAGGTTAGCATTTTGTTTTCTTTGACAGGTCTTGAAAAGACATAGGAAACAAAAATTACGCTGAAGAATATATCAATCGCATGGAGAAATTAAAATGAGTACAACACTGTCGACAGTTTAATAGCCATGGGAGAGATTAACATTTTTAAAAAGCAGACTTAAAGGAGGACACGTCATATACTTACCTGCTGAAGAGACCAGAGACCAAGAAATTCAAGATTCACAATCACCTAATCTTGTTTAAAATCACATAGGATAAAGAAAGGCCAAATATCTGACAAAAAAAAAAAATATAGAAGTGTTATCATTTTAGGTCACTAAAAATTCAGGGGCAATCCTGTAAGCTGTTATTCTGATCTTGATGTCTCCAAAATCCAATAATCTGGTTAAAAATTACAACATTAGAACCTGAATAATTTCTGTCTTTAAAGGGAAATGCATGATAATGATATTCAAAAGTGTTTAAAGGATTAAACCACAAATCATCTAAAAAGTTGCCACAGACACAAACAGGAAAACCGTTTCTTCTGTCCTATTCAATTCTGTAGTTAGAAGCACAGCTAACAGAGATGAGAAAGTCAAGTGTGTGTTGCTGCAGGCTTCCAGTAAACACACTGCCTGAATCCAGTATCTAAAGTCTCCAAGAAGTCATTAGCTCCTGGAGGAATGAACTTTTTCTCTCTAATGCACAAGATAAGAAAAGGTAGAGGTATATTTTCTACAAACCAAATGAAAAGAAAGAATGAGCTGTGACAAGCCCAGATCCCACGCTGGCATATTTTACACTAAGCTCAGCATCCTCTAGAAGCAGTTTGCTTCTCCCTGCCAATCAGAGAGGGGGAAAAGTTGTGAAAGTAATAACAGTGTTGATGAACAGCACTAGAGGTCTACCATCCCCTTCTTCCTGACATCTCCACTGAATCAGCTGGTAAAAGAAGACCAACGGCTGTTACAGAAATAGCGAGAACTAAAGCACTTGCCTCAGATGTTACACATGGAGGCCTGGAGCATTTACCACCTGAGCCTATCTAATTTCCCACAGAATGAACCCCCGCCCAGTTTTGTTCATGGTCACAGATTCTGATCACAAGTCTCGATCAGTGTTAGGAAAGGCAGTGGGGGAGGGAGAACCTAGGGAAGAAAGTAAGTGAGAATAGTGGGCAGACTTCACACAATATACAGACTTCTCATTATTCAAATTAATGCCCATGCATAAAGTAATATTTTGAGACAGCAAAATCTGTGGTAGAGGTCTCAGGTACAGTGATTTTAGTCTGGGTAACAAGGGTAAGTTGGTCATGTAATCAAAGAATGAATTATTTTGCTCCTCACTGTTCTCCTTTTACATTTCTTTCCTTTCCTCTAGGATATACTGCTGATGCTATTACCGGGTGGGACACTCATAGTTGCAGGCAAGGCATTCATGTATTGCCAAAGTAGTCCAGAGAATGAGGTATGGCTGGCTTTAGATCAATAAGAAATATGAGGCAAGCCCAGGAAGCAATAAGAATGCAAGGTGTAGAAGAAGTGAGGCAACAGCCTGGGTTTTTTTTGTTGTTGTTGTTGTTGTTTCTGTTTATTAATGATGCAGATGAAATGGGGAAATATCTAGAAAAAGCAGCCAAGCCAACTGAATTACAAAGATTAAAGGAGTTAAATGTGTATAACTTGGCTGACAACCAACAAACAATATGAGAGCTGTCCACAACTCTCCAAAGTATATACATAAAAAGAAGAGTGGGGATTTTTTTCTACTATAGAAGTGTGAATATATGAAACAACAATGAGATAAAATAAAAATAAAGAACCCTGACTTCAAGCAGCTGAAGAAGTAACCTGGTAAAACTCAAGAAAGATTGCTTCCTTCCCCTTAGAAATATTTATCATCTTACTGACCGACAACGCAGTAAAGGGTAGATAATTAGAAATGCTCACTTTCTGCAAGAGAATGGAATTGATGGAGATATAAAAAATGAAGACCCATTTGCCTACCTGATAGTACAGAGACAGTGATCTTTCTCTTTACACATGTCCCATCTGATTAATCACATGTACCTGGGAGATCACAAAGGATATAGCTAAGTTGTTATTCTCAAACCCAGCTGCATTCTGAATCCTGATATGAACAAGAATTGACTTAAATGACTAAGTAGTCTAGTTCCTGGATATTCCAAGAAAGGAAAAAATGTCCAAAAATAAAAATTGTTTGTAATTTTAACTAATAAGAGCTTTTGACAGTCTTTCCAAGGATTTCTCAAATCAGTAATAACTTTAGTAGAAATAATAATTCAGATTAGAAGTCTTTAACCTTGTTAGATAGATGCCTTTAGGAATCTATGTACCTATAAATAATAAGTAAAATTGGTGGACATATGTAAATGGATAGCTCTCTAGGGAGAAGGTCAATAGTTTGTTAAGATTTAAAGAAAGGTCTAGGAACCAAAAAACTGTCAAGAACCTCTGTGAAGGAGAGTCTAAAAATCTCAGAGGCAGGCTGGAATGTATATGGTGATATGTCCAGGTCTGGGGTTCACCCCAGGGAAACAACCAAGGTGCAGACATTTACCAATCTGGGGTAAAAACCTTAAGAATACTTCTTTCTAGGACCGCATCATATCAAGATTACACTATTACCTAACTTGCACTGTTCTCTGCAAGACATACTCAGTAAAGAGAGTCAGATGTTACCACACACCCAAGAGTGAATATTGTGACTTTCCATTCTTATATACTAAAGTCAGAATCCATCTAAATATGATGCTAACAGGGTCAAAACTAACATAGTAGTAACTCATTCAAAAGATGATATGACAAGCAAAAAGGAGGCGCTGTCAAAGCAGTATGAAATGTGCTTCCCAAGCAGTTTTACAGCACAAAATCAGAGCCCACACCTGTTAAAAGAATTATGTTAAACTAATCACAGAGCAAGAATGACCTGCATCCTTTTGAAAGAAGGTTGAAGAACCTTCCAGGTAACAACTGAGAGTAAGATGGAAAAGCATGCACAGTCACAGAGGAGACCATGAGTTGAAGTGGCACCAAAAAGAAAGATAAAGGCTGGAAAGGCATAAATCAAGTAAACGATATGGAGGGCGGGGCGGGGGGGGGCGCAGAGATAATCTTAAAAGACATCCTGTTTCAAATAGTAATAATATAGTATATTCTCTCAAAAAAACAATGCATTGAAATATTTACCTCCTGTGTATCTATCAGGCACTGTACTGGACTTAGTAATATTGGTGAGGGGAAGAAAGACAAAGATAGACAAGTGTATCAGTAATTTCATTTTAATTTTAACATATAATGTGAAAGAAATACACAAGATGTGATAAATAATGGCCTGCATCTATGTAGGCCAGCACAGAGAGAGATTTATTCCAGGTTAGTCAGGGTATAAAAAAGGATACTGAGAAAGAACATTCCCAAGGTCAGCTAATCAAAACTCTTCCCTTCAGAGATGAAACAGAAGAGCTATTTTGGAAAACAAAAATGTCACAACCTTCACTATTTCCAAACATCAAAATACACATGTCGAGACTCATTTATAATTTTATTAATTCCTGTACTACCCTTAGAAAAGACACCTCAAAACAAGTGAGGACTTCTGAATCCTTTTTTAAAAATGGCTGAAGATACTTCATACACTGCATACTTAATATTTAACAAAGAACCACAGTCTAGCCAAATGCTTGACAAGTTCTATTCAATTAAAAAAAATATGTTCTTGTTCTCCTACAGACAAATCTGATGAATCTGAAAGGTAAGGTATTGGGAGAGGGGAAAAGCTTGGTAGCCAGTCTCTTAGAGGGTCTCCAAACCCTCTCTTCGTGAAATTCAAGCATTTATAGATTTGCCGCTTTTACTGTATCAGTATGAATGAAACAGAAAGCAATGTAAATGATGGCATCTTTCTTCACAGGTTAGGTCCTAAATGATAATGCAGCTCTCTCTCTATCCTTGCTCTCTTGAATCACTCATTCCAAAGTCAACTATGATGTCATCATGACCCTCACAAATCCCCTGGAGGTGTCTATGGAACCTCCTGCCAAATAGTCAAAAGCAAATTAACAGCCCGTACATGAGCCATCTTCAAAGTGGATTGTCCAGGCTAGACAACCTTCAGATGGTGGCTGCCCTGGGTAATGACACCTTTATTTCAAGTCAAGAGAGATTAAGAGCCAGAATCACCTAGCCCATAGGCTAAGCCCTTTCTAGCTTGCACTTTAACTTCCTGTATTACAGAACTTTGAAAGTTAAAACACTATTTCCCAGATAATCTTGCACCATGCCTTCGGCTGGAGACTGAGGTTCAACCAGCAAGATAAATCCATGCAAGACTTAGAAAGTAGAAGTGAGCAAACCAAAGTGGTGACTACCTACAATGAGATCAAATCTTGTAGTGAAGGGATTTTCTTCTGAGCCAATACTATTAAATGACCCCAAGTATAACAGGTTCCTTATAGCAAGAGGCAGTGGATGTTCTACCAGAATGGTGTAATTGAATTATTTCTCTGAGTTTATATTGCTCCTAGCTTATTAACAATCAATCCTGGTCCTCAGCACTTTTGGAATTAAGAAGTATATAATATACCCACTTTTGCTTGTCTGAAACAAACTAGCTGTGGCTGCAACAAAAAACCCATTCATTCTATCAAACACAAATTCCCCTATGGCATTTTCACTCCCATTTAGTAACTGGTCCTTTTTGTAATAATTGAATCCTATTTATTTATGCCTTTTTATAAAAATTGACTCCTTTAATTTCTCCTTTTCCTCTACCTTTTCCTCTCCACTGGTTCCTCCTTTACCAGTAAGATTCCTTTCAGCTCTACCAACGTTGACCCTCCAGCTTCATAAAATAATACAGGCTCACTCTTTTAAATTTGATTTCCATCCAAAGCTGAGAGTACCAAAACTTTGCTTCCTTAGAATCTCCCTGATGAAACTGGGATAGCTAGCGCCGACAACAAACAAACAAACAAAAAATGACTTTATTGTTTTAGGATGGTCCCCAGGCAAAGATTCCAGGATCCCTGCCCCACTCAAGGGAAGGTGGAGCTGAACAGGGAGAAGAGGAAACTGAAGAGAAACTGATGAAGGAAGGAAGCATTATGGAGAGCAAGAAGGAGACCTGGAGGAGGTATATGGAACAGAGAGACATGTGAAGAAACAGCTTACTTTTGATCCTGGACTGGTTGAAACAGATGTGGGTGAGAAAACAGTGGGGAAGTTCACAGAGGCAGCTTTTATATTGGTTTTGATTTTGCTCTGGCC